CTAGACTCGTTCGTTCTTCGCATCAACCAAACTGCGCCCAGAAATACAGTTATGCGCAATAATACCTCTTTCGCTTCTCTTTTCCCTCTAGTTCTCTCCCACTCGGTCAATTCGGCCATCAATCGAGCCGCCTCGGACACACAGAATCCATGCACCCTCTCATACATGGACTCTCATGTCTCCGTTGACAGCCTTATTCTCACCATTCCCGGGACGCACCAACTAAACAGTCGCGCTATACTCAAACCGGCATGCATGGCCGAGGAGCGACGATTCAACGCGAGGCATTTATTACAACGTGGGTCCATTTCTCATCTATTCTTGCTGCTGTGTTCCTTGCGGAGAAAATTACGGCTACGGCTCCAGAGTCCAGACTCATTGGTGCGAGCTATTATATATATATACCATATCTTCTAGCTGGGTCGACCCTTGCGTACAGCACTCGCATCTCCACCGGTTGCCATTGCAGGCGTCCCGCTTCGCGCGCCGATCTGTATCTGTATCCGTATCATGATTATGATTTCGCGCCGGCATCCATCCCTGATTCCATGTATAGACGGACCCACGCTTATTTTTATCAGATCCGCGTCTGGGCGCAAATCATCTCGGGCGGCAGGCAACTTGCGCGCACGGCGTTCGTATATTTTTTACACTGTGAAGAAGACACTCCTTTTGGGGCTGCTGGCTGTGTACATACTACAGCCACCAACCTCGTGTTCTTCTATTTCGGTTTCTATTTCTATTCCTCGGTTCTCCGACGACTTTTGCTAGTATTCCGTCGTCTATAGCTAGGAACTAAGTTAGTTCCGACTCAGGCTTTTTTCAACCCGGAGGTCCGCCACCGAGCCTCGGGCCTCCGCATGCGGCATTGCGCGATATCGCGTGCGCACTTAGTATAGCACTAGTACATATATCCTCGTTTGAACCTGCCAGCCGAATTAGATTAGATTAAAGCCAAGTTACCTTACCGCCAAGGTGCAACTGCCGCGGGCGTGGCATCAGGGCGTAATCCAGCGAGCGCCGAGCCAGCCACTCAGATTCTTGCAATGCTTGACTCCCATGATGTCGGACGCCGTTCAACTTTTTAAATTGCACTCAACGACAAGGCACCCGATCTGTCGCCGCCGCGAGATCTCGAACATGAATGATCGGGAGTTGCATCAAATAGTATGATAGGTAGTAACGTAAAGCAATAACACCGCGTGTAGCCGGAGGCGATCAGTATCCTTCCTGTTTTGTCCTTGAGTTCAACTTTACTTTATGTAGAGCCTTTGGGAGTTGGAGCGAGGGGCGATAGGTACCATATCAGCGGGGTGTAAGTACATGCTAAATTTGAAGAGATCGGTGTATAAATGGACGGCGTACGCGGGGGCGATCCACGGGCCATTGAGTTTTTTGTTGTTCTTGTGATGAACTTTGATTTCGACTTGGCTATATCTGGGGGACGATCCACGGGTGGGGTGATTGCATTTTCCAATGTCCATTTAGTTTTTTTGTTGTTTCACTAAATTGAAGAGATCGGGTATATATATACGCACGGCGTACTTGCGCGGGATTTGCCATTTACTATTAGCGTTCTGTTGTTGTTGTTGGTCTGATGGAGAAAACTCGGAGCAGGCTGAGCTGGCGAGGTGGTTTCATGATATACCGAGGTCACCAGTCGAAAATCCCGCGCCCGGCGTGCTCTTACGTGCGCAGCCCGAGTCAAGAGTCAAGTGGTCTTTGTAAGACAGGTTCGAATCGCAAAGCACATCTTTTGCGCAGTTCAGATTACAAATTCCTGCTTCCTCAGATCCAGTACAGTTCTGGAATCCGGATGACCGTGTCATGTTCAACCTAAACCTACAATCAGCCCGTTTTTCCGCCGCTTGCCCGTCCCTCGCCGTCTTGTGCATTTCGTTTCGTTTCGTTCGTTGCTATGTAAGTAGACTGTAGAGATTTGCGGGGGCGCTTGACATTTGAATGGGATTTGCGTCTGGCAGACGCAAATCCGACGCCACCCCGCTCAATAGATTTTTAATTATGATAATTCACTGTGGGGCGGGGCTAAAAGAATAGCCAACTGCCGCAATACCAGTCCGTCAATTTCAGTTTCCCTCCAGGTGATCAGATCCGGATGGTGGGATTCCGAAGAACCTCAGATGTAGACGTCATATATGTTCAACCTAATCACCCCGCGGCCGTTTTTCCACCGTGCCCGTTATCCCCCGACGCCCGTCCCCTGGCCGTCGCGTCGTGTTCATTTCGTTTGTGTGTATTACAAAATGCCACACTCGCCAGCTTGACGCGCGATCGATATGAATTAATTTCGCTCCAGGGATTAACATGGAAAACCCGATTCACCGTACCGTCATGTCGGGGTTACATCTAAATTCAGGAAGGAGCTGAACCTGTGCGTGAGTGGTATGGAAGTCTCATAACATATGGATGAACTCACGGCAGTTGGAGTCGTTGTGCGCCATAAGGAGTCTATTTCAACTCACTCCAGGACCACGATTCCACATTAATCCCAGGGGCCAAGGTGTATTTTTGCTTCTTTCCTTCCTTGGTTTCGTTATTCGGACCCTGCCGTGCGGCGTTCTGACCTACCTCCCTCCCTACCTCCCTATCTACCTACTGGCTCCTTGATCAGCTCAGGGGATAATCCGGATATCGAGGTGATTCAGAAGTCCGTTTCCCGTCCGCCTGGCGTTCGTTTACAACACCGATATCAAGTAAGTATAACAAAATTCAAGCGCAATGAATGAATGGGATTTGCGACGTCAACTCCAAACCAACAAATCGATCGAGGCAACGCAAATCCCATTCATTCATCGCGTTTATCGAGATCCCGACTCCTAAAATACTTAGTACGCAGCGTGTCATTTCGTATCATACGCACACCCCACTCAATATTATCCTGAGTCTTATCCCCGATGAAATGAAATGAAAAAATACGGCGAGGGCCGGGCAGGCGGCGGAAAAACGGGTGATTTGTAGGTTGAACATGACATGGGTTCACACCGTCCGGATCTGATCAAGCTCAAGGAGGGAATCTGGAATTTGGAGGTGCGCGAAGTGGGATTCAAATCGATATCATTGCAGTATTTTTTTAGCCCGCCAAAGAGGAGAGGAGAATTAATATATTATAATTACTGTCAAGATCGATCGCGGCGGCGCGACGTCGGCGTCGCATACGCAATATCCTATTTATTGCGTTTGTCAAGCCCTGGCGCGTATCTCGTCTCGGCGAGGTTCAATTTCAACGTTGGTTGCGTTAGTTGTAGAACGAAATGAAATGACGCCAAAGTCCAAGTCGAAGTCGAACCTGCTAACCAAAACTCGAACTCGCGAGTTTAATCCAGAATCGTTCATTTATTTTATCGCTACAATACAGTACAGTACACTTAGGAGTAGTATGATATAGGCTACACAGACATGGACGCGAGGGAATACACAACAATGATGGGACGAAACGAGACGAGAGGAGACAGGACCGATGGGGACGAAGGAAAGAAAAGGGAGCCGCGCCGCGCCGCGGCAGGGTGGATTTTTGGTGAGGCGGGTCGGGGCTAGGAGGGCGGAATGAACAAAGAACACACGACGCTACCGCCTCTCGCTCCGCACGTCGCTCTCCGAGTACACCCCCATCCCCTTGCCGAAATGTGGCCAATACGGATGCGGGGACAGCGGTGTCGCGGGGGACCACCTCGACGACGCGGACGACACTGATGAAAGGGGCGAGGCGGAGGATGAAAGGGGCGAGGCGGAGGGCGAAGAGGGGGCCGGGGACGACGGGGAGATGGGCGACGACGCTGATGATGCGGAGGTGCTCGAGAACGTCACCGCGGCGTGGTTGCGAAAGTGGCGCCGCATGTTGGAGTTTACGTTGAATGCGCGGCCGCAGGAGGGGTGTGGGCAGCGGAAGGCTAGGGGTGGTGATGTTAGCGGTTGGCGCTTGGAAGAAAGGGAAGGAAGGGCGACTCACGGGTAGCGCCCGTATGCGTGTTGACGTGTATCCGCAAGCTGCTCGGGCGGTTGAACCGCTTCCCGCACGTCGGGCACACGTGTTTCTTCGTGCCCTCCTCCATATGCTCCTCCGCGTCGTCCTCCTCGCCAAGGAGCATATCGGCGTCGCCGTCCGACGAGCCCGACGAGGAGTGCGCGCGGAGGAAAGGCGGCTGTGAGGCGGTGCGCACAGGGGGCAGTGCCTGGCGGCGGTACTGCTGTGCGGTGCTCGGGCCGGGGCGGCTGGAGGCGATGTGCTGGAGCGACGCGCCGCGGGGGTCGCTCTTGAGGACGTCGAACGAGAACGGCGCGCGGTGCGGCGCGGCGCGGTGGAGCAGCGGCGGGGGGGTGCGTGGGAAGCGGGGCGGGGCGGCGTGATGGCGGGTGCGGGCGGGGGGGATGAGGTGCTCGGGGAACATCTCGTGGATGCTCGGGAGCACGACCGTCGAGGCTGCAGTCGATGTCATCGTGGGGCTGTGGGCGCAGACTGGAAGGGAGGCGCGGTTTTATATACCGCACACGTCAAGTCACGGCCGTCTGTTCCCCGGATGGCAGCGGCGTCCCAAGAAGAGTCCGTGCCCCTCCCGCGTCCGACTTGCTCGCACCAATCTAAACCTAACCTGCCCTCCGCGGATGATCGACGCAGCGGCGTTATGTAACAAATCACAATCTAACGTAGATTGCCTCCCGCCGATCCATCGCTATGGGGACACGGACGATCCTCCCCCGATCGATCGCAACGGCTCGCTCCGTAACTTGACATACGGCAATTGTCGAGTGCTGAATTCTTCCGTGCCGCGCACAGCTCCGCATCCAGAAAGAGTCTGAGTTTGTGTGCCTTGGCATTGCGCGGGCATCTGACATCTTGGACATATGTCTGCGCTTGCGTGAATTGAACAATAAAACGGACGACAGGACCCACCATCGTGCATTGAACAGGGCAAGAATGCGTAGATGAATTTCCCCATACAATAAAACAGAGAGAAAACGAAAAGAACAAAACTCAAAAAGTATGGCAGCACCGCGGATCGAACGCGGGACCTTCAGATTGCTGCAACACTTGATACGCTGCACTTCAGTCTGCTGCTCTCCCAGCTGAGCTATGACGCCACTGAAGATCCTAGAACCTGGCTCACCAGATGGGACCGGTGCAGTTGGGAATCTAGCTTCGACTTAAATCTAACACCGAGCCTTCCTTTCGAGTCAGTTCACATCTATACATACTTCCTTCATTTTGGTGAATTGAACGACTTGTTTCACAATTTCAGAAGCCGCAGTTAAACAAAAGAAAGAACAGCGGATTGTGGATGGCCTTGCGGTGGATTGAACACCGGACCTTCAGATACCGAGTTGTAATCGAACATACTTCAGTCTGCTGCTCTCCCAGCTGAGCTACAAGGCCTTGATCTGGAGCTGTCAATTTGTCAGGAGTCAGGACTGTACTTCTCTCTCGTTAGTCGCTCGTTCCTGGAACCGGTGATTGCGCGGGTTGGCATCATCCCACACTGAGAACCAACGAAATATTTATTTTGCCGTTTTGTTTTTGATCGGGAACATAGCATCGGAACACGAAGAGGAAGACGAGCACAAAGTTGAAACCATCAACCAACCATCACTTCAATTCGGGCTCTAAGGCACGGGAGTCGTCCACCGTCGTGGTACAATACGCATAGAAGTTCCAAGTTCCAAGTTTGGTTCAAACTAACTCAACTGACGATCGATAGATTCGCTCACGGCGCTGTTTGATGGAGATGTGAAACTGAGCTGAGCCACCTTTCCTCAAATTTTTCATCGAGTCGGTGTCGGTACTATAAATGGGTCCGGGGTATACGTAGTTGATACCTAGGTAGTTGGTAGTTTGGGTGATTTGCTTAGTTCGCACTCTCACCTTACTTCCAACACCTCGGCGAAATCCTGGGCTCGTTCGCTGACGTGGATGGAGGACAGCCAGCCTTCTCTTCATTTTCCTCTCTTCTTCTCTTCTGTCCGTCGCTCTTGATTTGTTCCTGAGTTCTCAGGCGATTCAGAGCGATTTTGGTGTTGTGTTTTGAACTTTTGATCGGGAACATAACATCGGAAGACGACGAGGAAGACAAAGGGAGCGACTTGGATACCAATCAAATTTTTCTCCGAGTCGTCTCGTCTCGGCCTGGTGCATATGCATGCATGGATTTCAGGCAAATTCAACCCGAGCGTATGCCGTTCCAAATGCACTTTTATTATTCCCCCTCTTTTTTCAACTTTCCCCCTCTATTTTTGAGAACTTTCCAAATTCCTCCCTCTTATTTCCAAAATTTGAGGCCCAAAAAGAGTGGGGGATTTATTGCGTTTTCCCCCCACAACTTCGAAATCCCCCCCTCTTTTTCAGGTCGCAAATTCCCCCCTCTTTTTTTTGGAGGTAATTTTTTTATTGCACAAATGGAGGCCCATAGCTATTTATTTTCAAGTCCGATGCTCATTTGACTGGCAAATGTACTAGATACGATGAGAGAACGAATACAAGTAGCATGATGTCGTGCCTATTTCCAAAAAAGGAAATAATCCCAAGCCTTCAAGCGGAGTTGACAACTCATATGATCATGCGCTCGCAACAAGATGTCAACCCATGGCAAACACAGCAAGAACGGAAAGGGAGCTGGAGCTGAGACGAGTGGAAACTCCTTGGCTCCTTTGCTTGCTCCTTTGTATTCCGGGACCTTGTGCGTAGGGAATCAAAACAGCAACGGCGGATCTCGGATCATCATGATTCTGGTCCGAATCGAGGTCCGACGCGGCTTCATTTAATTGAAGGTCAGAAAAACCAACCAGAGGTCCAAGTTGTGGATGCAAAATTATATCTATATTTCACCATTTTTAATGGCACAATTTATGTAAACAATGAAATATCGAACCCCCCATTTTACGCTCTGGCAACCTTGACGGAAACTTCGACTTGATGCTGTGATGCCGGGATCACGCAACTTTAAGGGGATCAAAGATACGACTAGTTACCTGCCCAATGCGACCTCCTTGGGATACTGGCGGGTTGGCAACTTGCGAGCGCATGAGTTGTCAACTCCGCGAAGGCTTGGGATTATTTCCTTTTTTGGAAATAGGCATGACATCATGCTACTTGTATTCGTTCTCTCGTCGTATCTAGTACATTTACCAGCCAAATGAGCATCGGACTGGTAATTAAATAGCTCTGGGCATCCATTTGTGCAATAAAAAAATTACCTCCAAAAAAAGAGGGGGAAAATTTGCGACCTGAAAAAGAGGGGGGGATTTCGAAGTTGCGATAAAAGAGGGGGGAAAACGCGATGAATCCCCCACTCTTTTCGGGCCTCAAATTTTGGAAATAAGAGGGGGAATTTGGAAAGTCCTCAAAAAAGAGGGGGAAAGTCGAAAAAAGAGGGGGAATAATAAAAGTGCATTTGGAACGGCATACGAGCGCGAAGTTGAAACCATCAACTTGAACCATCGACCATCAGTTTAATTTCTGTTCGCAGGGCTCTAACTCCAAGGCACGGGAGTCGTCCTCCGCCATTGTCTCATTACATTTACATACAATACATATAGAAGTTCCAGACGATCGATAGATTCGCTCATTCACCCTTCAAGTTGTTTGATGGAGATGTGAAACTCCAAACCGGGCACCATTCGGTCCAGCAACGCTGCGCTCCCAGCTGAGACGCCGTTGTCGAATTTTTCATTGGGTCGGTACCATGAATGGGTGGATAAGTCGGTAGTCGGCGGATTGAGTGATTCACTTCCAACTCACCGAAATCCTGCGCCGCGGCTTACCGTCCTCCACCACGTCACCTTCTCTCCGCATCCCTTCTAATAGTTCTATTCTCTTCTCTTCTTTTTTCTCTTCCCTTCTATTCTATTCTTCTCTCGTCGCCCGTTCCTGAATCCCGACTCTCACAAACGACAAACGAGCAGATGGCCATCCCAAGAACCAGATGTCTGATGGTTGATCGGGAACATGGGAAGCGGAGAAGCGGAGTCCGTTCTACCGTGCGGTAATTGGAAGTCACAGCTCGAGTCTTTATACAACCTTGATGCGACTGTATTCCACCCGAGGTTTGAAAGTGCGACGTGAGTCATATATCCTCGTTCAAGTGACTCGGAGGGATTGTAGTTGATTGAACTTGATTCATTCACGGATGAACGGATTGGACGAATTGAACCTGTGTATTTCATTCATTCAGCCTCGAATAAAACCAATGCCGCGTTTCAGCTTCACTCCTGGCACCATGCTGAAGCTCAACTCCCGCCTCCCCAAACGCTGGGACAGTGCAACGAACCCTGATCACGGTGAAGCATTATACGCCATCTAAATCTTCTTCCCATCCAACAACTTCTCTTCTTTCTTCGCTTCTCCTCTCCTTGATGCCTGCAACCCTGGTTACCCCCGCCGCCGCCGGAAGCAGACACCAGCAAGACACTAAAATAAAACAAAGAATCAGCGCCGATCATTGATCGATCAGTCGCAACTTGTTGCAACTTTATCTGCAGGGACGGATCGAGCCTCCCAAATATCCATCTACTTGGATAGCTCCCAGCAGCGTTTGGGACGGAGGGACGGACGCAAGAGAATTCCCGTCCCTTGGGCGTCGCGAACGGAACAGAACAGAACAGAGTGATGGGTGAGTCCCGCTCATCTAAGTTTCAAGTGAGTAAGGAGCAACTCGAGTGCATACAAAAAAAACGATTCTATTCGACACAATGGAATACAGTTTCAATCCGATGAGACAGCGTTTCTGTTTCTGTTGCTGAGCTTCATGGAACGGGAACGGAACGCGAACGGGAGAACTTGAATGCAGGGTTGGCAACCGGTGGAGATGCGATTGCTGAACGAATTTTCCAGGATAGAACGTTGTTGAGCTTCAGGGAACGGGAACAGCGGGAGAACTTGAATGAAGGGTTTACGGGTCCTGAAGACTGAGGTTGGGCGCGCGAAGGCACCATAGATCGGTTACCCGCTCGCATCGATGTTGGATTTGGATCGGGAAATGCGGAATATGGCCGGCCAAGGCCACTCGCGGCTCGGGCGACGCGCTAGGACACCGAGCCAATTGCAAGAATGAATCACAGCAAGAATCAGCATGTTGAAGGCCCAGAAAACGCGATGAAGCCATGTATCACAGAGTTCGATGGATCGGGACCTCCTTCCCAATCCTTTTTCTCTTTGATCATTGCATGGACTGTGCAAATCATCCTCGGACTGATCCACTCGGCCTTTTGGCATTTGCATGGCGAGTAACACAGGTGAGACGTCGAGTGAAAGGCGAACTGGTGCGTACTGAGTCGTCGAAGAAGAGCGCGAACGAATTGCAGGCCTGTGCATTGCGGTGCCGCGAGCAAGTTCAACACTGTTACAAAGGAATTTATGGAGTGAGAAACGTACGGTTCGAATGCACTGGTTTAGGTGTAAGTGAGGAGGACGAAGATCCTAATCCAAACGTCTGCGAAGGTCTCAGAGAATAGATAACCAAAGGCAAGGCTGTTTTGATACAGTTATCCTCTGTTGATTGGAACTATGACAGGTTCGAGTAAAATTCGGGTGCATCCAAAAAGAACTTAGGAACAGGGCTCACGCATACAACAACCGCCACAGACACAAGGCTACCGAAGGGACAGTAAGACGAAACAGGAAGCAAATATACGATAAAATGGATGAGGGCGTACCGTGCGAGAAAACCAGTTCCTACGCTGAAGGTAAGCAAGCAAGCACATTGATAGATAATGGGGAAAAAGCATGGATAATTCGATTGATCAGTTCCGAAGTCCTAAACATACCCAACTGATAAGTGGTATCAATGTTATAACACATCCACAGACGCACCGACTCGATGATTGTGGTGATCAACCATCCGAGGCGGTTCTGCACGTGAAGTACTAGTAGCCCGGCTCGAGCCGGAGATTCACGCACTTCCCGACGGACACCTCCACCGAGGCGTAGTAGGCACAGAGTAAGCAGAAACACGCCGATCCACGCATTTTTGGAGATACAATATAGGCGACCTATGTAATAGACCTATAACAAAATCATCAACTTGAATGTCAAAGCAAGTCATTCGAAGGGCCAACCTGGACGAGAAATGTGATAGAGGTCTCGAAGACCATCCCCAAGCTCAGCCCGACAACGGTCCCCGGTTTTTCTTGGACGTCGACTAGGGTGACAGCCTAATAATATATGACCTGGACTGGACATGTGCGGTCTGAGTTGCCAAGGTAAGAGATGTAATGAGGGATGAGCATTCCGAACAGAACGAGCGTGGCGCAAATCCCAAGCTCAGTGACACCGGAGTCTAGGCGGAATAGGGGCATCGTAGAGCTGCGCGAAGTGAGGGGGTTTGCGCCGCGCGTATGCTAGTGAAATAGCAGCAGCCTGAATACCTAGAAGCATCCAGGCAT